AACATCCTATCACCTCACGATGCTCCATTGAACATTTAGTCTTTTCTGTGGTATCAGTTGGACGTATGCAAACTAATGATGGCGCTTTGGGGAGAGTTAAAAGCCGCATGTCGAATTGTGAATTTACCGAGTCAATGCTTTCTATATTGTTACAAAACAAACGCTAGAGATGATTCATGAGTAATGAATACCTATCCTTATCACGAAATAGCCAGATCATGAAGACTCAGATACATCGTTTTCCAAGTGGCACCTAGATTATAAACCAACATTGAAACCCAGGGTACAAAAAATATGAAAATATGCCGATACTCATTCTTTGGAGCAATCCGATACGTATGCACGCAATCACTGTGCCAGATCAGGCTGTTTTTGCCTTCCTTGGTCTATTTGCGGCTTTCGTTTGATACTACTAATTTCATATAGTCATATTAGTCAAATTCATTAAAATGAATACAGTATTCCTGGCCCGAAACAAACAACGAGATCCCTCACAATTGTAGTGATAATTGGCACATGCACCCGAGAAAATATGTCATTATTGGTCCACAACCTCCTGTACATCTAATGCACGCTGGGTCTTCCTTCTCATCCCATTTTTGAGGCAAAATCGCTTCACGTTTGTTAGGATTCTTCTTTCCACCCTTGACTGCTGGACGAAATGCATTTGAACAGAGTCATAATCTGAATCAATGTTATCAGACAAAGTCTCCTTGAACCTTTCGCAATCACTTGCTAGTTGTTCATGTAAATGTCCATTACATGTATCTGATGGGGAAGCCACAGTTGTTGAGAGCATCCTACTAGGCGATATGATTGAAGTTGGCAAGGAATATGTCGCCATCGATGTGAGAGAATCTTCGTGATCGACATGCCTCGATCCAGAGTCTGGGTTTCCTTACTGGCTTTTCTTACCAGATCATTCTTGGAGAATTAGGCTAATTCTCTTTGGCAGCCGTCTCCGAATTTTGATATTTCACAGCAACTTCGATTTTAACTTATCTTGATTTTCCCTGCTGAACTGTCATCGCTGGACTGTAAGAACTACCTAGTCAAAGAAAAAAACCGATATAACACTACAATCTGATTTATTGATATTGCACACGACTATTGTTAGATTATTCATTCTGGAAGGGTTCGATCAATGGCTGTCTTTCTTCATCATACTCGAGAAAACAGGCAGGAAAACCAAAACTTATCATCTCAAAAGAATCTTCCATATTGGCTAAAATACCGAAAGAGGCGGCACGATATCGTACGAAAGAGTCGGAAAACCATCAATTCATACACCATAATCAATTTCCCAAGGTTGAGAGATGTCTTAGCTCCAAAAATCGGTTACCCATCATACAAACGCTCGCTTATCTGAGGCTTTAATACGAAGGTATCTTGCGTTTAGTTACACATCACGACGGAGTTGACTGCGGTATGCATCTCAGAATTTTGTGCCTGGCCTCTACAAACATCATCAGCTTTTATCGGTAATATTGCTTTATTGAGTATGATATACAGTGTACTAGTGCTGGAATGAAGCTCTTAGTTTACTCTTACACTTTTGCCTATATCATCTATGCTCAAGAGAAACGAAATAAGGGAGGTAGTATACTATGGAGTATGTCAAATCCCGAAGAGGAAGATTCTAAAATGATAGATTCACAATGAATGAAACTTTAATCAAACGAATCGTCAACTGGCGAACGTAAATTTCATGAAATTGTTGTCTTCAGGGGCCCATAATGACTTGGTCAAGCGGAGAAGTTTCGGTTGTACGACAGTCAGCGCTGGAATACGTGAGGCTCTTCCCTTTTTCTTTGGATTCTTCAAACAATTTATTAATGTTTTTAAATCTGCTGAATGTCTTGTACTCTCAGTTCTTTCTTAGATTTTCTAAAAATTAAAGTAATGACTCTTTTGCGGAAATTAAAAAGTGAGAATCAACAATCCTAATTTAGATAAAAAGGACTAATTAAAGTACTAGACCAGATATCAATACATGAAATGTATTATGTTATTATTTGAGGTTATCATCGTATGATATATTATTACTCAGGAAGTCACTCATTGAGATAATTACTTGATAAATGGATGTTACTCATCATTAAGTATACGAAGAAACTATCTAGTATAATATTTTCAACATCTCGCTCATCTGGGGATTTCAAAGCGCACCGCAGCTAGCTGCGCTCAACAAGGTGCCCCTGTCTTTATTTCTGAATTTGATACCGCCCGCATATATCAGTTGTCATTCGACGCGCCGGTGTAACTGAACTCATTTCCCATGGCCAGGGTCCTCTCGGTCTGGTTATTTGATTTGATAACTTATTCGGGGGCGATTCGGTGCATCAGCATATACGAGAGCCTCGAAAAGGGTGATTAGTAAATCCTTTTCCTTGGTAGAGGGTATTCTGATATGAAAAGTAATTGCTTGCTTGATGATAGGTATATGTAGGGCCACTTTCTTCTAAGTATTCATTGTTGCAATATCACTGAATTCATATTATTTAGCTCGTTAACTCATAATTTCTCTTGGGAGATTCCCGCCTCCCGTCTGTTCAAACAATTCCATCACACTTTCTCCCAAGAGAAAGTCTTGCAGGGACTGAGTTTTAGAGTAACAGGTCTATCTCGTCTCAAAGTCATCGGTCTATTGGTCAAGAAATTATGGAAAGAAGATGGACTACAACGACAAAACCTCAACCGAAAATATTGCTGCTAGTCAATGCAGCTGTAAGGAACTCAAGGAAATAGATGTGCTCATCGACACCTGGTGGGGCTCCTCTGGATTTGGCCCTACTAGTAACAAAGATGTCTTTGGCGCAACCATCAACGAGACCGGGGTACTTAAATACGTTGTGCGTAATCTGAACACACAAGTTGGCGCTCTAGAGTGCCCTTTTCCTAGTACACAACAGCATCGTGGCATTCTGTTGACAGAAGCCCGCATTAGATAGTATCCTCACCTCAGACCATGAGTGCCATGGAGCGAAGGCAATATGTTAAAGTCGAAATTAAATATGACTCAGGTTCCAAAATCGAGCTTTCAGGTGCAGATGATCTCAGGGCAGTTCAAGAAGCTCAATAAATTGTTCTAAAGTCAAACACGAATTTTACATGACGCAACTAGCTCCAGCAGTGCATCCGGCTCACTTGTAGGCCCTGGAGGGGTTTCGCTTCTACGAGCGTCCCAACTCGAAGCCCCACGCCAACATTAGATGATAGTCCACGATGGAATTGAGTATTCGAAGAGACATAACGGTATGTTTTAGGGGAAGCATGTTTCATTGCCCAGCATTGTAAAAATAGATGGCGAAGATTTTCTCAAGCATTCTGTTTTAAGAAAGCGAGTCCATTTTAAAAGAGATTCAAAATGGTGGGATATGATGGTTGTGTTGCAAATAAATGTATCATCTTCTCACAACCTAATAGTCGGAAGCTGCTTCAAAGAATGAAAACATTCTGTATTAACAAAGCTTCAAGGAACGGGGCTGTCAACTTCGAACTACCGTTTGTAAAAAATTCATCATGTGAAAATATGTGACTCACTTTTATTAGGAAATGCTGTACCTACCTGAGGTATGTCTAATGACTAAACGCCAAGAAACCAGAGCAACTAATCAATTCAGTAGCGAAAGAAAAACAAGCGATACCTGCCTAACGACATATTTATGTAAACAAACTAATCATCATACGAATGAAACTCACTAGAAACAACATCAAATCAATGAATTACAAACGCGAGTATCAAATTGTATATTGCAATACAATTTCAAAATCTGTTCTTTCAACAGTAGAAGAAGATATCTTATTTTAACGCATCGTAATGTCATTGAAACACAAAGACTATCTAGATAAGATATCCATATTTACAGGCACATATTCCGAAACATACCCTTGTACTTCAATCTCGGAACCTATCCGCTCATCAATAAGACAAATAAAATATAGAGAATCAAATTGAAGAATCTGTAGGTATGAGTCAACTTTTAGAACGATTAGAATCAAAAAATGAGATTCCATCCAACTCTCTTTTGCCCAACAATAATTTTGTTGAGAACTAAGTCATCTATAATCGTAACAGACTAACTACTATGGCTCTTATTTGAAGGCTTATAGTATTTAGCCGAAATTAGGGCCTAGAGCGGCCGCTTGCAGATGCGCAGTCACTCTTTCAGCTACATATAAATTAACACGAAGTCTCCATTTAAGTAGCTTTCTAATTCGAGTTTTATTCTTACTTCAAAACTAAGCATAGAAAGGGATCTAATCTTAAGATTATCCTAATACTATGAAAAGAATTCGAAGTAAGTATTCTGTTTATCTGGATATGGGTTGAAATTTAGTATGCAGGCAAGCGAGACTAAGCCTGCACCTATCATGATTCCGCGATTAGCCAATCACACCTTTCAATCAATCATATTGAGGACCAACAAATGGTTGGCCGTGTTGCACGGCCAGGCAGTAGGGATCAACAAACACAAATTGTTTCATCGCATCTCCTCTACTCTCCTCTTGTCGTCCCTTCTTTTCTTTATATTCTCAACCTTTTCACTTGAATTTTCAAAATCATCTGGAGCAATTATACGGAAGCTCACCAATAACCAACGATAAGGTTCATTTCGGCATCATAGTCACTCAGGAACTTCTCTGTGAGTTCTTCTTTCCTGTACAGCTTCATACTAACACTTCATCGTGTTCTTCATTACCTCTCTTTTGTTCATAAGTATGAACTTTGTGGATAGCTCCTGAACATTACAATCATCAACAAGCAGCCCACGTACTATCGCATCAATTCGCAATGTGAATTATTATTTGTCTTGTGGATGTGTATACTCATTTGTTTGAAGGCCATTACTGTGTTTAGAATCACACTTTGAGTCTCAGAAAGCAGCGTTGTTTCGTGTCTTTTTGTACAATTTGAACTGAATGCCGAGAATGTAAAGTTTGCATCGATGCTAATGTCATTATTTCATAGTTAACTGAATTCCTAGCCCCACGACAAAATGAACGATCGGCCAAAGGAAGAAGGACAAATTGCAAAGTCGATGGCAATGAATAGTGATACTCTCCAAAGTATCACGAGTGTCCCTCCTGTTATCAATCAACCTAAGCCTTCTCAACCTACTTTCGGTTCCAGTAACATCAAGTCTATCGATCTTTATTCAGATTCTGATGACGAACCTAAAGAAGATAAAGAGGTAGAGATCAGGTCTGCAAGACAAGGCACGGCTGAGGAAGTGATCACGGTTTCATCTTATCCGAAACGAAATCTTCCATCGGTCAATTATGACGAAGGCATCTGGAGCATCAAAATACGTAGTCCAAAGCGAACTAAACTAACGCCCACGCAGTCAATCCCAAAACTGCATGGTGTTATTGTTGGTACTTGGAAAGACTCAGAGCAATTCGACGACCACGACAAACATATCGTTCATGGCTTCATCGATGATGGAGGACGACTTCGGTTTAGAATATACGGAACAAATCGTCAACGCAACAAGTCTTTGGCCATTCCTCCAGGAGCTTACGGTTGCTGGGTCAAATTTCAAAATATCGCCTTTGATCCTTATCTAAGTACAAAGACTCCTGATCAAATTAAGGAATACGTCATTTTCAAATCACAGGAGAACCAAAAACAATCAGATGGAATTCCACGAGTATCTCGAGACGTTGACGATGATGCTTCTGCTAAAGTCAATGACATTCAATCATCGTCTAAACCAGAAATTCTCCTTGGATTTTGGGCGGACTCAAACCAAGTGGATATCAAAGACAAACACGCAGTATTTGGTACTATTGTCCTCAACAGCAATCATAAATTCAGATTCATGATTCGAAAATCTACTCGTGATGGACGGTTTGTGTTGGGTAATTTTCCGGTAGGCGCTGGGAATTATCAAGCTCAATACGAAAATATTGTGCTCGAGGAGTATTTGTCTAAGCTGAAGCGCTCGGAAGTTGAACAGTATATTCTCATTCGTCAAAGAGAAATACTGGAAGGTGGCGATCGTGATTCGCGCAGCCAGCAACTCAACGCAGTTAAATTAGCCAAGGCTGCTGCAGCATCAAAATATCCGTCAGATCCAAGTCTCTCTGGCCATGATATTTCCAATCCCGATCTTGAGATTGAACAATCTCTCAGACGCAAAGAGATATCGAGAGGAAAGATAGCAGATAGAAAAGAGCCGCCACATCTGCAGGGAACAAATGATATTTCTGTCGACTTCACTCTTGAAGAAAAACCTGCTCCCTATAGGAAATTTTCGGCTGAGCGGCAACTTGCAAAGTCGATGAACAAATTGAACAAAACATGGGAAGCTCAACAGGAAGCGAAGACTCAGCAGCCAGTCACGTCTCCACATTCAGAGGCTATTGCAAGTGGCAGCTCTTTGACCAATGATAATGACAAGATACACAATGGCATCAAATACACGAGAAGACAGAATGGTGTATTCGAGGGGAAACATGTTGGGCCCCCACAGCTTCTGAATATAGATGGAGAAGACTACGTCGAGTATCGGGTGCTGACAAAAGCGGCTACTTTTTGAAACAGAGTTAGTAACTAACAACTACTTCTCTATTAATGATGAGGGGCTGAAGGATCTCGAATTTGTCATTTCTTACATACTCTGGATTACTGCTTTCCTTAAAGTCATCCTTGTTCGATTGAATATTCTTTCCGCGTATGATCTCTTCATTTAACATGGCTTCAACAAAAAAACTCATTGTTATACTTGCGTGTTTCTAGCTTTTGATTTGTTAGGGTGTGAAAGGGGCTTTCTTGATTGTTTCTATTTGTTGAGAAATTAGTATCGAAGTATTCGCGTCGGGATCAGAATAATTAAGTATATTTTTATCAAACTCAACTTTCGAAATAACAGTATATATGAGAAACATCTATCGTGATGCCAGAATCTTTATTTTATCTGAGATGATATTGCTAAAATATGTATGATACGAAAAATAATAACACCATCACATCCTTTTTCCTCCGGCTCGATGCATTCTATACGCGTGGGGACGGTGACTGCGCTTGTGTAGTTTCCAGCTTCACTGGCATCAAATTGTGCAGAGTAAAGATAGCAAAGTTGCGTACGACGACTTGATAGAAGTAGATGAAGCAGGGATAACAAGATTTGTCATCTTCACCGAAAATTGACCTTAACAAAGATGGCCAAGTCCTGACAATTGTTAAGTCAAGGAAATTCGTCCAGAAAACAGGGTACCTGAATAAGCAATTCTATAAAGCCAAAGCCATATAAGAGCTCAATTGATTAATCTTCACAATGTGCCTTAAGAGTTTGAACAATTAGAGCTTGGAATATTTGAAGTCCGAATAGCAGTTATGATTAACTATTGTACACATGTAATCAGCAAATCTTGCACACGCGTGTAGTATCGCTTCAGACGCTGTATAAGTACTACAGGGTCAGAGGAAGTTCAGGAAATTCTACCACGATTCATCATATAGATGAACTCAAACCGGAGGTCAGATTAGATATGGACCGTTATCGTGAGCAAACGCGTCGATCTAAATGAATTAGCCGAGGATCACGACACAGACTCTAAGTAAGCGAAAAAACAGGCGGAAATTGAGTATCTTTTGAAAGGACTTCTTTAATAGATTATAAATTCATTTAAAATGAATTATTAAGATTTGAAAAACGCAATCAAAAATTTGAGTCTTCTTTGTATTAATGATGAGCATTTTCATTCTTTAATATTAAATTATAAAAAGATCTTAGTTGTTAAAGTTCTTTCAAATAATGGTCAATTCCCGCCTGTTTTTTCGCTGACGTAGAGACAGACTAATCCCATTTTGACTATTAAAGGCAACGTCAATGCTACGATAACTCCATAAGTAGAGATTACCGTAGATGGTACAAGAAAAAAGCGAGCCCTCAAGGAGATAGACAATCTTACAGGGTCCTATACAGCTTTACTTGTATCCGCACTACTGAGCATACCGATGACGTCATACAGCAGAATGTTTTAGAAAGTAAAGGGAACCGAAGCGACTTGATAGCAACAGTGCCTAACAATTGAAAACTCGGGCGATAGGAATTACAACAATACGCTGAGTGCTTAAGACATAATCAAATATGACAAGTAACGTGATCCCATCTGTAAATAAGAGCATGTGGTCAGGAGATTTACTTGTCCCTGCAGCGGTAGGATGTATAGAAAGTTCAGAAAGTTCTCAGCTACTACACGAAACTTGGGCATTGACTATGTTGATCGCATGAGTGTCATAATTGAGCAAGAACTTCATCTGAACAAACATTTGTCAAATAGGGTACGTACCCCCAAGGTTCCTTCCTATTTTCCATCTTGATTCACCAACTCCTTATGCACTTTCCTCTTTTATCGAAATTCACTCAATGCTATTCAAAGTTTCTTTCCCGTATCTTAACTATAGTAATTTTGAAACTGCAATAATCTTACCCGTATCAGCACGTCGGAGGACCATCATTACAGAAGGTATCATTTTTCACACGCAAGGAAGTAAGTCTACCTGACCTCTGTATATCATTCAAAAAAAAAACCCGTACAATTTTGAGTCATTCAACAAGCGTATGAACTTGATCAAACCGTACGAGAGTGAGTTTGAAGATGTTAGTGCATTTCGCCATACAAAACTTGGCTTATTGACCGTACTACCGACCGACAATCCTAAGAGAGATTGACTTGGTTCGGTCATCCTTTCTATATATTAATGGCTACATTAAGCTATTCGTTAGTTCAAAAGACTTAACAAGTTTTCACTCTATTCCACATCTGATATTAACAAAGTCAAATTTGCAACCAGATTCTCGCAACCCATTCATCCAATATTGAACAAATATTCTTCAAGTTTATCAAATACCAGCAAATATGGATAGTGTAAGTTCATCCCCTTTATCCTTGAACAAGTATTGAAACTGATAATTTTGAAGGATGCTGTTATGGCCGAACGAAATGGCGTTCTCGAATTCCGAACTGCCACGAACGATGGAAGCCCAGAGAACTTTGTCCTTCTCACAAAATTTCAACAAGTAGTTCGAAAGGGACTGGCAAAAATGGACACAGCGTATATTGCGAAAACAGTTCTGGACGCAAACCACAAAACTCTGGTCATGATACAGAAATCGCAAAAGCCAATCAATGGAAATTCGAAAGGGGGCATTGGTCAGATTTTCGAGCAATTGGAGACTGTAATTGGTGGAGTTTGTTACCGCGTTTTTGAAAACCGTGGATTTGTTGAGATGGTTTACGTTGTGGTTAGTGCGAACAAACAGGGAGGGGGGTATGGAGCGCACATGATGAACCATTTCAAAGACGACATCAAATACTCTTACAAGGAAACAGTGATGGAAATTCTCGGATATGCCGACCTTACTGCCCTTGGTTTCTTCCAGAGACAAGGCTTCACGAAAGACATTCAGCTGGAAGAACGAAAATGGGTTGGTGTCATAAAGGACTATATCGAATCTGATCTTATGCAATGCACCTTGCTCCCAAGAATGCGCTATGTCGAAGCCGCTCGAATGCTTCGTAAGCAGAAGGAATATCTGCTCGCCACGATGGCTGCCAACAACAAAAGCAAGTTTCAACACCACCCTCCCGCGCAATGGGCTCGAGGAATTGTTGGTCCAATCGATCCTTACTCTATTCCTGGCATCCGACACACTGGCTGGTCACCAGAAATGGACGAATTATCTCGCGAGAAAGAATCGACGCCCCTCCTCAATCCACTCCAGGACCTCTTAAATCATTTGAAGCAGGGGAAGTATGCCCAGCCTTTCCTCAAACCTGTTGATGAGAAGGAGGTTGAAGACTATTATATGGTGATCAAGCATCCGATGGATTTGCAGACCATGCAGCAAAAGCTAGATCAGGGTCTGTACGACACACCAAAAGCTTTCGTGGAAGATGTCAAATTGATCATCAAAAACTGCAGACAGTACAATAAGCCAAACACAATCTTTTGTAGATATGTGACTAAGCTAGAGAGGGAAATGAAGGCATTCATAAGGGGTGTGCCAGAATGGAAAAAATCTATAAATATACTTAGATAAGCTGAATCGAATTCATGTTCTCTTATCAAGCGACTGCTTTTCACACACTTGCAGGAATCGAAAGATGTCAGTTGATGGAAGGTCCTTTGAACCAACCCACGTCTCCAAAAGGCGTTGGAGCGTCTGCGTGAACAGCAGAATATTAAGGCCATCAAAGGGTAATTGAGTCGTCGTTGGTATCGCGAGGATTTGGCCATCTCTTTTCCATAGTACGCACATAGTATTAAGTTTTCAGAGCGAATGCATAAATATAATGGCCTTCCGAAACAATGCAATGATAAGATTCTCATTAATCTTGTGAGAGACGAAGCTGGGGTTGGAGGTTGAGCCCTTGAAGTATGTCTTTTCAGATGTGTTTAGTTCCTTTTTTTTCGGCTTTCTTGATCCCCTCAGGTCTTGCAAATATAATCTAATCCCTCGACCTGCTCATTGCTGCCGTGCATGTTCCAATTTCCCTCATTGAATCTCCAGAATCCGTCTCAAAATTCCTTCAGGAATCAGAAGGCGAAAGCGTAGCCTTCTCTCCAAGTATATTAGTGACTCCAAAAAATTATGTAGATCCAAAAAACAGACATTTGATCCTCTCAAAAGTCCTTACTTCCCTTTCGACAAGATTCCCAACCTTGATATGTAGTGTTCTCTTGGGCTTGTAGAAGAAAACGATACTATTTTACAAAATTTGTAATTGTGGTGGAAATCAAACGCGGAGGAAGAAAGGAAGGAACAGCCTGAGCTGATCATACGCTGTCCCTCCACAGATTCTGGAATCTGAGATGGGATTAAGTGCTACGCGCCAATTAGCGGCAAGATACCTGTGCCAGCCACCACCCCTCGCTGCTTTAATAATAGTACGGCGCGTCACATACCTACTTATTGAACAGTGAAAGAGTTGCATACAAATACTAGGTAATAATTTTATTGTGCTCTGAATATTCCCTAAAAGTTCCTAATGACATCTTGTTTATGATCCAAGAGATTACGCCAATTATTATTTAAAATCCCCTCTCCAAGCCCGCCACAACTCCAAGTCCAGCTTTGATTACAAGCTTGATACCGCTACTCTGGAAAAGAACATACAACTACTTGGTCCTCAATGCCAACTTACATCTTTCATTCACGAGGTCTGGGATGGTGGCACCACATCAGCATCCTCATCAGCCCTATCGTCATGATCCTTTGGTCTGTTCCAAGTACGAATGTGTCCTAGTCCATTATTAGCTCAGTGATGCTACAAAGCATCGCCATCTGAAGATAAGCGAAGAAAGAAAAGACATACCAATCTTATCGCTGGTAATGATATGCTCTTCCGTAAATGCCAAAGAACACAGTGGATCATCAGCAACAATTTTCGTGCACACGGCGGGTAAAATAGAAATCTTTGCTCTTGGTTCTACTGGATGATCTACTGTGGTCTCTGATCGTCCCTCGGCATAGGAAAGATTTGAGTTTGAGCGAAATCGAGCGGCAGTTGCCGTTGTGCCCTGAGTTTCAACTCTTGAAAGGGAGCTTGGCATTCGGGAAGAGATACTACCTCTTTGACGAACGGAGGCCTAATTTTTGCGTCAGTCGACATGTGCTACACGAGCCACTGAAAGTATGAATGGGCGAGGGCTTACTGCTTTAGGACGATGCAACATTCCAACACTGAAATCCCATAACAAGAGTTTGCCATCTTCGCCCACACTACCAAAACGATAATTACGGTCGTCGCAACGCCATGGATCAAAGGCTACGTCTGTTACCCAGGACGTATGACCAGTGCAGCGAGCTATAATGGCAGAATCTGCCATCGACCATATAGAGACGAGATCATCCTGACCACCAGAAAGAACATATTTGCCATCAGGCGACCAGCAAACACAAGTCAAGCCACCAAAATAGCTGTTGTAAATATCGAGTAATCTAAGCGGATTAGTATTAAACGCGTGATGAAATGGGAGTTGCTCACTGTTCTTTCAAATAGTCAATAATCCGCAAAGTTCCATTTTCAGACACGACAGCTAGATGCCTGTTGTCAGGCGAGAAAGCGAAACTATTGATGGGCTGGTTGGAAAGTTTCCAAAATGAAACCGGGTTGAACTTTTGATTTTTCGAATGCACTGATTTATCGATCTGAAGTTTGGCTTTTGGCATGGAAGTTGGGTCCAGATTTTCTTCACTTGGTACACTGCCATTGCCGTTGGGTCCGACCTCTTCTGGTACGAAAGCTGCATCATCTTTCTCCTTGTCGTAAGCAATCAAAGATCCGTCCATATGAGATGCTAGAAATAGATTCTCGGAACCAGGAATCCACCTGATTTGTGTGACGGGCGTTGAATTTATAACACACTGACGTTGTTAGAATTTCATGTAGACTTCCTTGGAAAAAATTGCTTACGTTCTTATTCAACCGTGAATATTTCTGGGTGAAAGGCTCAAACCAAATAATTTCGCCAGTGGAAAACCCCATTATAATATCTATGTGATTTGGACTTTTGGTGACCTGATTGACATCATGACAGAGGCAATGTGCTTTAGTGAACAGAATTTTGAGTAATTGATCTTGCTATTGTAATCATGAGCATTTAACAATCCAGGATATCGGATGATCGCAACAGAACTTACTTTGTTTGGAGAAGACAAATCAAGCCACTGAAAAGCTCTATTTATGTTGGCAAATCCAAAGTACCCGTCGATTGGGCGGTCTTGTAGCCTCTTGACCAAATTTTCATTGACAATACATCGTGAAATAAATGAAGAATTACTCTTCAAAATGCCACTCTTTGGTTTGCGACGTTTGCCAGTATCTTTAGTCGTCAACGACAACAATGAGTTTCCCTCCCCAAACGCCGGTGCGGACCCTATGGATGTCGCAGCTCTCGCGCTGCCATTGACCGAAGTTCCTCCACCATCACTACTTCCAGGTACCTCCGAAGAATTGCGATTCTCGTATGGGTGTTCTTGTATACTGGATTGAGCCAATCCCGTCCGGGAACTTTTGTTGGTATCGAGCCTGTACAAAGGAGACGCGTAAGGTTTCGTGCTAAATGATAGGAGAGAAAGTTTGGTTCCGGCAGTTGCAGCTTGAGGAGTTGTAGATAATGGATTTGGGTTCATGACTGGTGTCTCGGATGGATGATGAGGAGGTGTCGCAAGATGCAGATCATCCTGCAGCAGGTATGTTCCTATAAAGATGATCTCAGCATTGAGTGACTAGGCTCCTGCAAATGGAACCTCACCTTCACCAGCAAGCAATTGGAGCCCTTCGGGATGCTTAAGCAGATTATTCGTCTCCACCATTGGCATAGCCATTCCATTTTGAACAGCGAGATTGTATGCAGCCTGCGATGGATATCGCGGCGGCGGTGGTAACACACTATGTTCATCGTTAGCTATGCGACACCATGCGACACCCATCGGTAATTCTGGCACGAGTTCATTTGCTGTACTCTGGATAAATTCGAATGCGACACTCACAACATGACGGCTATAATATTTGGCGAGCGAAAATCAATGGACTGGAATCAAACTAATCTAAGGCTAAAGACTTTGATGACGAGCTTGTAAGTCGAATGGGAAAGGAAGGTGTCAAGAGTTGAGTTTCCTCACGAACAACAACTTATATGTTTGAAGCTATTATTGGGGGCTGCAGGAACGAAAGTGTGGGGTAAGATGCTTGTATTGCAACCCTGAAGATCTGCTTAATGAAGGGATCGTGAATGTGTGAATGATTGTACAAAAAGATCGGATGATTGTGTATATAAAACAGGTAGATGGTAGTCAAGGAAAGTCCAATTCAATCCGTTGGAAATGTGGTAGAAATGGAATGGTGTCAGAGATTGGAAAGGCATTCCAAGCTTTATCTAAAGAGAACTTTATCCATTATCCTATGCCTATTATTACCTATTCATCCAGCATGGCACGGAGCATGTCAACGTCGCCATAAAACTAAATATTAAACGTGGAGAAAGTATTCATCTCCTAGGACAGAAGTAGTGCTGATAATCCGAAAAACAGCCTCTCGGATCTGATTGTCCGGAAACCTTAGTAGTCTTTGAACAATCAATCACATACACTCGTACAAGTACACATTAATCCGACATCAATCAACACTCATTGACGCACGAGTTCTATACTGCCATCAAAGAAAATACAATAAGCTTAAGTGCTGTATTTACACCTTATAGTGCTTGCCAACTTGAGGATAGGAGCGACGGCGTGAAACAAGGATGAAAGTGTAACAGCCTCGTCATACAAGGCTACATATAAATATGGCTACAGGTTAGCTATTATACCTTCCTCCAGAAGCCTTCTACATTCTTCGATCTATACTGACTGGTATGGATGCACTAGTACGGATATGTGTCTGCGGGGACGACGGGACTGGAAAATCGAGTCTCATCACATCACTAGTTAAGGATGTATTTGTTACGAATAAAATCCAATCAGTTCTCCCTCAAATCACCATTCCTCCAAGCATTGGAACTCCCGAAAATGTTACCACAACGATTGTCGATACCTCTGCAGAACCCCAAGAACGCAATACATTACGGAAAGAGATAAGGAAATCAAATGTTATCCTGCTGGTATACTCAGATCATTACAGCTACGAGAGAGTGGCTCTGTTTTGGATGCCATACTTTCGCTCGTTGGGTGTGAATGTGCCTGTGGTACTATGCGCCAATAAATCGGACTCGACTACAAATGGGAACACAGCACAAGTGGTAGAGGATGAGATGTTACCAGTTATGGCAGAGTTCAAGGAGATTGATTCATGCATACGGACGAGTGCTAGGGAACATCACAATGTCAATGAGGTGTTCTTTCTTTGTCAAAAAGCTGTTACACATCCAATTGCACCACTTTTTGACTCCAAGGAAGGTATTTTGAAACCTGCTTGCGTTGCGGCCCTAAATAGGATATTTTATTTGAACGACAAAGATCAGGATGGATATTTGAATGACCAAGAAATGCAAGACTTTCAAGCCAAGTGTTTTGAGAAGCCATTGGCTCCAACTGATCTCGAAAACATAAAGATCTCAATTAGTAGAGCTTCTTCAAGCTCTAATATGGAGAGGGGGATTGATCAAAAAGGGTTCATTCATCTCAATAAGATATTTGCGGAGAAGGGTAGGCATGAGACTATATGGATTATTTTACGGAAATATCATTACACAGATAGTTTAAGCTTGAAAGATAGTTTCCTTCATCCTAAACTAGATATTCCAGAATTTGCTTCTGCGGAACTCAGTCCCGCTGGTTATCGATTCTTCGTCGATCTCTTTCTGCTATTCGACAAAGATAACGATGGTGGTCTGAATGACAACGAGTTGAATGCCTTATTCGCACCTACTCCCGGCCTGCCATCACACTGGCTCGAATCAAACTTCCCCGCTTCTACAGTCCGCAATGAAGCTGGCCACATAACCCTTCAAGGTTGGCTTGCACAATGGTCGATGACCACATTTGTCAGCCCCGCCACTACTCTCTCATACATAGCCTACCTTGGGTTTGAGCCCACCCCTGGAAAACCTTCGACAACCACCGCTCTGAAGATAACCAAACCTCGCAAAAGACGTCGCCGACCCGTTCGTACTGAGCGCAACGTAGTCCTTTGCTATGTTCTCGGTGCCTCCTCGTCAGGTAAATCTTCCATTCTCGACGCCTTCCTCAATCGTCCCTTCGATCACCTCTATCACCCTACCATCAAGCCCCGTGTCGCCGTCAATAGCGTCGAACTACCCGGTGGTAAGCAATGTTATCTCATTCTCGAAGAACTCGGCGAACTCGAACCGGCCATTCTCGAAAACCAAGCCAAACTCGACGCCTGCGATCTCCTCTGCTACGCCTATGATTCCTCCGATCCAGACTCTTTCTCCCACATTATCAACCTCCATAAAAAATACCCCGCCCTCTCATCTCTCCCCTCAATCTGCACAGCCCTCAAAGCAGACCTCGATAAAACAACCCAGAGATGCGAAAAACAACCAGATGAATATGCACATCTCATGAATATGAATGCACCAGTACATGTAAGTGTCACGTGGCATAGTATCAGCGAGCTCTTCGTTACATTAGCAGAAGCCGCAACGGACCCATCGAAAGCGTTTCCAAAGAGTGAGGAGGAAGCACCTGATAGAACGGGAGTATGGATTGCTCTCGGAGCTACAGCTTGTGCGCTTGTGGCAGCGGGCATGATTTGGAGGAGGACGTGGTATGTTGGATAGAGAGATGGGGATCGGGGTAGTGGGACCTTGAAGGCTGAGATGTGAAAAACCCTCTCCTTTAAATGGTACCTCTAGAATGAGAATCTTGGAAGAACAAAAATAATAGGTACGATATGTGAAAGAAAATAAGTGTTATAGTTAGTTATATGTAGCACGCTTGCGAGAATAAATGATACCCAATCCAATCTAGTTTCATCGTGTCGAAGTTGTGAAAGGTTGAGAGGGGGGGGGGGGGGGTTACCAAGACTTTTTTTGATAACATTGCTTATCCTTCGCCGTGCCAATCACCCTCCCCAAGATTGAAAGGGAAAAAAAGCTGCCTCACGTTGACATCACTCTAGTAGAAATTTCAAAACGCCATGACAGTTATTCATACCAGTCACCCTCACATTCCCATTCATAATTCATTCCATGCCATTGTATGATTATCTTCATCTTACAAAAATGTATGTATTATGCATGCATGCAAGTTCATCTCTGGTATCTCTTCGCTCTTCTCCTTTTCACCCCTATCCTCGCCCACTTTAGCAGGAGCTGTTAAACTCTTAAGCTCTCTCACTCCCCCTCAATCTGACCGCCTGTCCATATTTCTGCAATTTAGTGATCAGCTGATCACCTTGCTTAACAACATCATTGTATTGCTTATTCTTGTCGTCGGGTCTGTTGGTTTCGATGATACCCTTGCCAGTGACGCGGTCAATGGTACATGGGATACGGTCTGCAGCAATGAATTTTGCCAAGTCGCTATTGAGAGATGTGATGTTAGTTGATTTCATTTATAAAGTCAAGTGAGACTAGTAAGAGAAAATGAGGGGGAGCAGAAGGTAGTAAAAGCAGGGTTAAAAACATACCGATCAAGGAAATCGACTGAAACACCGAAATCATTGGCCATACTCTCGAGACCTACGACTCGGTAACTTTGAAGGAGTTGTTGGTAGGCTCTCAAACGCATTTCTCTGACAAACCATCCACGGTGCTCATAGAGGTAACGGTCTTGAGTAAGGAAGTTGACTTCAACAGCAGCGAGGGCCCCGAAAAATGAACGGTAGCTACCGGTGTATAGACTTGAAACGAGTTGAGCCAGAGGGGAGAAATCCAGCGCTGCCTCTGCTTCTTGGACATCTGTGCCTGTGCCGAGGGTGGTGAGGTTTACTGCGGTTTTAGTAGCGGTAGGAGTTGCTGATGTAATATCTTGCATCTCTTCATCAGCCCCAGGACCGGCGGAGATGGCTCCTGACAATGCTAAAAGTTTGTCTTCTCCATCTCCGAGAATAGCTTTAATTTCTGGGGCATCGACGACTTTAGATTTGAAGTCAACACGTTTGAGTGAGACTGAACCGGCGAGAACGGAGTATACGACGAGGGATGAGTATGAGCAGAGTTCGTAACTGGTGAAAGTGGAGAGACTGTCTAAGAGGAGTGGTGCGGCAAGGTTGTATGACCTGACAGTCAAAAGGTAGAGTCCGGTGTATGCCTTTAATCTGTTTCGACGATCCCAGTCTCCACCACTCTCTACCAAAGCCTTTGCGCGGTCAACGTGCTTCTTAACCAATAACTTGTCGCCGTAAAATAGTCCCATGCGAATAATTGCGAGGACAAGATCAATCTTGGTTCCCAAAACACCAGTCTTTTCGAATACTTCTTCGTACGCAGCGATTGCACGGTCCTATGAAATCTTTGCATCAATACCAATACGCAACCTCACAATAGATTTACATACCTTGTCTCCAACTCTAGCCCAAAATTCTGCCCGCTTTCCTCTTGCAGCCTGTACTTCAGTATCTCCAGCCTTTTCGGCTGCCTCTTCCTCTTCCTTCTTGAACCCCTCCAACTCCTCTTCATTTTCCTTTGTTAATTTTTGATACAAAGCTTCATCCCACGGTAAATCGACCTTTGGTATTGAGTTTTTGCTCGCCACCAATCCAGCCGCACTTGGCTTTCTACCAACACTGCTCGTTGTATTTGAAGAAGTAACTCCGGCATCATTCAAAATACCTTCCTGTGGGTGTGCCAAGTATTTGTAAAGAGGAGCCATCTTATGTTCGGCAATTGCATCTTGGAGGCTTTTCAAAGATGTTTGTTGGGTTGCTTTGGCAGCGGATGGGTTTGTAATGGTGAAGATGTGTTGGGCGATTGGGAGGAGAGGATACTTTGCGTATTGAGGATCGGAACCCATCTTGACAGATTTATTATGATATGAGATGAACAACGAGTATAAGAGGGGGGGTCGATTTTGTGATTTGGATACGTTTTGGAAGAAGTAAAAGGTTTATTTGTTTCTATGCGATTTGTATAATACCTATGAAGCTCTGAGCTACTTTTGGTATTCCAGGCACTAGTGTGACGCGAGGCCGGCAAGGCTAAATTCTGGCCGCCGTCATTTTTGGGGTTTACCTTTAAGCTTACCTACAATCTTTGTTCTCGACCTTTCTTTCTTCAATAAAACACAAATATCGAACACCAGAGTACGACAATTCAAAAACCATTACTCTTAGTTTCAAGTCGAAACATCTTTCACATAATCTATAAGAACTTGACTTTTCTTAAAGTTGCTATTCAAGATGACTGGTGATGATAGTGGCCCTGAGGAACAACCTCAGCCTTTCAATGCTACAAAACTCGAAGCCGCAAAGAAACGCAAAAGATCAAGCTCACCTATGAAAGGCGCAAAGCGCGTCGCAAGATCACCATCTCCTTCTGATGTCTACAAGAGTCGTAGGTCACCATCGCCTGTCCGAAAACAAAAGCGTCCTGGTCAACGAGCACGAATTGGTGATTCCGAGCGCGAAGCAATCCGACAAAAACAAATTGAACGTGAAAGAGAAATAGAATCAGCCGTAGCTGCTCAGGGAATTCACAATGCGGTTAGAGAACATTATAATGCGGTTCCACAACGAGGCAGAGAATGGCGTAAGACGGATAGCAAGATTAAGGGCTTGAGAAGCTTTAACAATTGGGTCAAGAGCACGATCATCCAGAAATTCTCTCCAAATGAAGACTATACCCCAGGAGCGCAAGAACGCGGATCGCGTGGAGATTACCAGTTTGCCGAAGGACCAGATCCAAGTCAAGAAAAGGGTCTGTTGGTTCTTGATATCGGTTGTGGTAAAGGTGGAGATTTAGGAAAATGGCAACAAGCACCTCAGAAAGTGGAATTATATGTTGGATTGGATCCGGCAGATATCTCGATTGATCAAGCTAAGGAACGATATCGTGAAATGAAAAGTCGCGGTGGAGGGCGAGGTGGCAGAGGACGAGGTGGATACAATAGACAACCAGCTCGAATTTTCCACGGAGAATTCTTCACTCAAGATTGCTTTGGAGAATCAATTGAACGGATTCCTATCATTCGAGATGTCGGTTTTGATAGTTCCGGAGGACCTGGAAGATTTGGTGGTGGTGGATTCGACGTGGTTAGCATGATGTTTTGCTTACATTACGCATTCGAGAGCGAGGCAAAGGCTAGAACCATGTTAAAGAATGTCTCGGGCGCATTAAAGAAAGGTGGTAGGCTAATTGGATGCATCCCTAACTCCCACGTCATATCGGATAAAATTGAGAAGTTTCACACTGGAGTTGCTGCAAAAGCAAAAGCGTTAGAGAATGGCGATGGTGAGAAGGCCGAGGAGAAGGTTGAAGACAATGCTGAGGATGGAGAAATCGAAGAGGGCGAAGCTGAAGATACAGCTCATTGGGGAAATGAGGTTTACCAGGTCCGATTTCCAGGCAAGACTCCTACCGATGGTGTCTTTAAACCACCCTTTGGATGGAAGTACAACTTCTTTCTTCACGAGGCAGTCGAGGAAGTTCCGGAATATGTTGTACCATGGGAGGCTTTCCGTGCGATTGCGGAAGATTACAACCTCGAATTGCAGTATCAAAAGCCGTTCAATCAAATATGGGACACCGAAAAGGACGATGATGTCTTAGGTCCTCTTAGTGAGCGTATGAATGTCAGGGAAAGAGGCCATGGAAAGCTTCTTGTTAGTGACGAGGAAATGGAAGCTGCTAGTTTCTATGTGGGCTTTTGTTTCTACAAGGTTTAAGCTCCTGTACCTCGAAGGTTTCAGGTCTTGCGTAGATAATACAGATGCATCAGCGTGGAGTCGGTTGAACACCCCTTGGGTCGAAAGCATTGGGGTTTGGAGCATCATTGGGATTTCGTGGGGACTTGTTTTATTCATTTGGTTGTGCCCATGTGCATGGGATTTGGAACGTAAAAACATTCAAATATGGGACTGGGCCGATAGTAGATATCATGCAATGATTTGCCAATGATAGACACATATTCGATGAATTTTTAAGGGTTCCTTCTTCAAAATATCTGGGGTTGTATCCATGTACCATTCTGGAAAGATAGAAAACATAAAGTCGCCCCCAACATTTCAACATCCTGACTACTGACATGCATGACAGTAGTAGATACTATTCAACACCTTCTTCCACATTGTGTGATGGTACAGAACATAATTGGCCTAAGCTGACACTTCGGACGTTGTTGCTTATTCCGAAAGGGTTTTCATTCGATAGAGAGGAAGACTTGCATAACCTAACGCGAGATGCAGATTTATATCTTGTATTTCGACTTTTCGATATCCAAAATCGAGATGTAAAGCTAGACCGACAGCTAGAAGTGCTTCCAATATCTAACCTTATCACAACATTTATCAGATATTCCCAACAAGCAGCAGATGTGGAGCACGGATAGATCAATTATCATTCATTATCATTCATACTTATCAAAGCTCTTATCAGGGTCTCTTTTGAAACTCAACCTATTTTTTTCAAACCCGTGTTTTCTTCAACACTTGTCGGTATTGCATTCTCTCAAGTCCTCAAAGTCGTTCACTCTTCTTACCTGCCCCTTCATTACTGATCGCTTCTTTCCGATCGGGTGATAATATACCAATCTTTACCATCAGCTAAAGAAAGCCACGCCGTTTTAACATATTACCACTATATCGCCTTCTATATCTGGACGACATAGCCTATTGTTGACTTCGATTATCTCGCCCCCGTTCAGTGTTACTTTGGAAGTTTGAGTTCCCCAATTGGCTACACTTGCTTCAAAGATCTTATACGAATAAGAATAATACCTAACCTACACTACACTACACTACACAACACAATGGCTTCTTTCAACGCGTCATTGAGTACTGGTGCGAGGAGATGTATCGGCAGTAGACAATATATATCTACACGCACATCTCAACGACAGTATGGGACACATACATCTCGATTGTCAAGATCCATTGCTGCTGCAGGTACGTTGTTTGTATATTTTCATTGAGCCCTCTTCGTCGTTCACATACATTTCTTTTCGAGTCAGAGAAAAAAAGTTTCAGGACAGGGATGATTCCGAAAATCGGCTTTGATATAATATTGGAGCTCTGACTTATCCTTACCCGGACAGCGTCATCTCCATCGTCCCTTCCTCCGGGATGATGTGGGATGACTTTATCCAACCATACAGAAATTGTGGGGGCAATTGTCGTCCGTACCCCATTTTCCCCTCCCTACCTTGATATTATCTGGAGGGAGGGAGAAGAGGGAGAGGAAGGGGAAGGGGAAGGGGAAGGGGGTGAATAGATACCGTCCGACTATTATCATTGATCATGCGATGATTTTGATCTGATATACTACGCCTCATTACACAACACTTTGTCTATTCCTGTTCTTTTCTTTCTACATATTGATCTTTTTTCTTCGCGATTTGTTGATTCCGTTGCACGATTAATTCATTGACTCGAAAGAGCTTGTACAAGTGAATGTACATAAAATAACCCAGTTCTCTAATCATCATCTACCTCATAATAGATTCTCTCCATTCCCGCTCACTACTACAATCTCGATCTAGAGCCATGTCCACCACTACCACTCTCCGCAGTCTGAACATCAACAACATCAACCCACACGTCAAAGAAGCCAAGTATGCTGTACGTGGAGCCCTCGCTGTTAAATCAGAAGAATACAGAGCCAAGCTCGCAAAGGGCGATAAGGATCTCCCATTCGATACAGTCATAAGTGCCAATATTGGAAATCCGCAACAACTGGATCAAAAACCTATTACTTTCTTCAGACAAGTCTTGAGTTTACTTGAATACCCACCGTTATTGGAAAAGGAAGATGTATTGTTAAATGAGTTGGGCTACAAGAAGGATGTCATAGAGAGAGCGAGGTGGTTATTGAAGGAAGTTGGAAGCGTGGGTGCCTATAGTGCCAGTGCGGGTGCGACGGGAATCAAAGATAGTGTGGCTAGATTTATTGAGAGTATGTTCTCTACTGTTTTATGGTATTCGCATGGCTGGCATGGCTAACCTCTTTCCAGATCGAGATGGATTCCCCGCAGATCCAAAGGATATCTACCTCTCCGCCGGTGCCTCCGCTGGAGTGAATACCCTCCTCCACATAATCTGTGCCGGTCCCAATACAGGTGTTCTAGTACCCATCCCACAATATCCTTTATATACCGCCTCCCTCTCCGTCCTCAATGCAAAATGCGTCCCCTACTACCTCGACGAAGCTCGCAACTGGGGTACAGACCTCCAGGCCATAAAAGATGCATATGCCGCCGCTGTCGAAGAAGGAACTGATGTCCGCGCCATCGTCATCATCAACCCCGGTAACCCAACTGGTGCAAGTCTTCCACTCCAAGATATCGAAGCAGTCATCAAATTCGCCGCCGAGAAAAAATTGGTTGTGATGGCAGATGAAGTATACCAAACCAATGTTTTCAAAGGAAAGTTCCACTCTTTCAAACAAGTTCTCCGCGATCTCCAATCCAAAACTCCAGAGAAATACGACAATGTTGAACTCGCTTCTCTGCATAGTATTTCGAAAGGCATGGTTGGCGAATGCGGACATCGAGGTGGATATTTTGAACTGTGTGGATTTGATCCAGAAGTCGTAGAACAGATATACAAATTCGTCAGTATAAGTTTATGCGCACCAGTTATTGGACAGTGTCTTGTCGAACTCATGGTAAACCCTCCAAAACAAGGCGAACCATCCTACGAACTCTACAAACAAGAATACGATGGCATCTTTTCCGGACTTCAAAAACGCGCAACGGCTCTTTACGAAGCATTCAAGCAAATGGAAGGCGTAGAGTGCCAAGAACCTCAAGGAAGTATGTATTTGTTCCCAACAATCCATGTTCCAGAAAAGGCGGTGGAGGCTGCGAAGAAAGAGGGCATGGGCCCGGATGAATATTACTGTCATAAATTACTTGAGGCCACGGGTGTTTGCGTAGTACCTGGAAGTGGTTTCGGTCAAAGAGAAAACACACTTCACTTCAGGACGACATTTTTGGCGCCGGGTACAGAATGGGTGGGCAGAATCACAAAGTTCCACGAGGGATTTATGAGAGAGTTCAGATAGAGGGTTATTGCTAGAGTGGAGTATGTAGAGCATGAGAGGAGGTGGAGAGTATGGAGTATGTAATACAATTGCAAAGATGGGAAAAGGGAGAACTCACTGCTTTAAATCAATAGATGAATATTCAGCCGTAAAAGAGCTTTTCTTTTGAAGAGAGTCTGAGATTATTGGGGGCAAAACATTGTCAGAGGAAAAAGGAAAGGGGAAGAGGATGAGAATGACAGGGAAAGAGAAGAAACGAAATTATGAAATTAGATATCTCTGGTAAATAAAGATATAAAGATATAAAATATACAACAGCGTGCATCATACAGGGTAGCATAGCAAAATTTATAAGATATTACATCTGATCAAATCTTTATAGAATATATTTCTTATATTCACTTGCCTACATACCCACATACCTCCCTACCGAATAAAATCTACAACACTACATATTCTACTCGTACATACGTTCGCTCATCCATCCATCCACAATTCCACGCCCATACACTTATTCACTACTCACTCACTACTCATCATCATCATCATCATCATCATCATCATCATCATCATCATCATCATCTATCTCTCTATCTGCATATCCGTTTATTCTCCACCTCCCCCTCTTCCTATTCCCAAGACCCGTTTGCTCTAGAAGAGATACCTACCCACTTACCTTCTACTCATTCTCACCGCTACAGTTACAGTTGTGATTCTACCTCCCACAGTGCATATGTAGTATTGCATACAATCGAATCACTCACTCCCTAACCGTAGATATAGATAGGGAGAGGAATACACATTTTCTACTCTATCCACTTGCTATCCACCTGCTGTCCACTTGCTGTCCACTTGCTATCCACTTGCTATCCTGCGTCATCGGTTCACTTCTAGGTACGTATGTATGTACAATCGATCCATCATCCACGCATCCATCAACCAACATTAATCATTCACTCTACTCAAGTATCTTAACTTATTTTCAAAAGAACTCCCATCCAATCTAAGCTTTATTATCCAGGCCCTTGACACCCTCTAGCAAACCATCTGCCCAAGCGGGCGTTGCGACTCCCGAGCCCTTTGCATTTTTCGTCAAGCCATTTCGAATCTTGAGGACGCTATCTACAATTACTGCGTCGATGCCTTCATTTACTTGTTCCTACATTCTCCGTTAGTATATAAATTCAGGTGATGAGACGCAAGTAACACATACCTGAACCTTCACCGGATCATTATTCAACACCCCATAACTAACACAAACCAAGCCACTATCCTTCACCACCTTAACCAATCTAGGACTATTGCACAAAGGTTCCGCCGCACTAACCACACCTAACAAGTTCCAACGACTAGCAAATCGAATTGCCTCTTGCAAACTACTAGCTCTGATGTCTCCTACTGGACTTGTACCCGCGTCTGTGAGGAAAAGAATTGGAATACTTGGTTGCTTAAACGACAACAATAGACAAATATCTGGATTAAACGAACTGAAGATGACCTTGCGCTTTTGCTTCATGTCGTAAACTTTTGCAAGAACTGTATCACAGAAACTATTGAGTTCCACAGCATAAGTATCCATTTCTTGTTCTTCCGTTTCGTGAAGCATAGGATATTTCATCTCGACATTGAATCCAACATTTTGGGGAAGTTCTCGGAACATCTCTTCGAGGGTTGTGAATGGTGCTTGAATAAAGTTTCCACGGGTATTGCCTTTGTATCCCTTTTCTTTGAAATCACGAGTGTGTTTCATTCTTTCTGCCATATCATTTTCGAACTCTCCTTGGCCTAGTGATAACGATCTTTGACGATCCATACCTCTTTTGATGGCATGAACTCGTGGGGAATCTTTTGGAGGAGATGGAGGACGGGTTGAGCGAGATGTAGTCTCATTTACATGAAGAAATTGCTCCAATGTTAAAGTATGAACTGGTGCATCAATACCAGTTTCGGAAACAAGGAAGTCATGGTAGATGACTGGAACGTGATCCTTTGTAAGCTGAACATCAAATTCGACATAGTTGGCTCCCAGATTAGCAGCTGCAATGAAAGACTGTAGAGTATTTTCACCGAGTTGGAGTGACTTATTTGCAGAAGTATTCTTGCCAAGACCTCTATGGCCAATGACCATTGTTGAAGATAACTCCTTCCAATATGTCTGTTGCGCGGTGATTCCCATTTCTGGATGAGAAAATGGCGTAATGACAAGGAAGTTAAAGTTCACAGTTCCGATATCCTCCAAAGTGTCTTTGGAAATTATCGGTACAGTGACATCTCCTTGGAGATTCATGCGCTTCAATCCAATCGTTGGCCTAATACTAGACAGAATTGCCATTCCTCTTCCAATCTTATGCTTTTCGCTACCAGCATATGTTGGTACAATGTCGAAGTACAACTTAACATTGGAGGCGTCGAGAGTTGTGAATACAATAGGATCGGTAGAAATATTATCATGAATAGGAAGATCAATGATCGTAGGTTCGCCTGTGGCCCCTTTTGCCGAAACTACAATTGAGAGAGCAGTGTCGAGTTGAGTAGAATGAGCTTCCGAAATAGGAATGTTCTCCAACTTCACTGCAGGAATATTCTTTCTCATATCCATTGAACCCAGGCTGACAAGAACCATACTTTCATTTGTAAGATATCGATGTCCAAAAGTCTTGACGGGCTCAGTGACTCGAGGAGAGTTTGTGCTCTGTGATCGGAATGTTTCGATTGAAGAATGATTGGGTGGGGATGAACTGCCACTGCCTGCAGACTTTTCACTCCCAGAATTACCTTTCTCCAATTCAACCTCTGCTAATCTCTCTGCAATATCCATATGACCCCGTAAAGCTGCATGCTCCCTAGCTGTCCATCCTCCAGCATCAGCTTTAGATAAGTCGGCGCCAGCGGATATCAATAGCTCCACAATACCAAGGTGGCCATCAACACAAGCAACATGTAATGGTGTCCATGAGTAGACCTTCTCAGTAAGTTCAAAATCGGCTTTTTGATCTACTGTTCCTTGGATAAGAATGTCTGCACACTCCTCATGACCGGTTCGTGCTGCGATATGCAAGGCAGTCTCATCATTCGAGTTTGCATCTTTCCAATTGATATCAACCCCGGCATCGACAAGTAATCTAACAATCTTTTTGAAGTTAGATTTTGTAGCCAAAGCAAGAACTGCACTTGACTTTGCAATATCACGTCTCATGGCAGCTTTTTTGTCACTGGTACCCTCCCAATTTTCACCATCAAGAAGAGCTTTGGTTGTCAAAGCATGGCCACCAATCACACTAAGATGAAGGGGTGCCAAACCATCATTATCTTGCCATTCCGGTGCATCGATTCCGTTTTCGACATTGAATTGGCCCCAAGTTTGCATGTACTTCATAACCAATTGACAAATGACAACAAAGCCAAATTCAGCAGCATAATGTAGCGGAAGACGGCCGTAAGAATCTTTGCCACTTAATGCTGATCTTTGATGGGGTTCCAAGTTACTTAACACAAAAGACAGGAGTTTGACGGACTCGTCTTCTAAACTCAGGAGTGTTGATTCTTGAAGTTTCTTTGAATTTGGCCCTGAACTAGGTGAGAGGGCCGGCGTGATAAATCTGACGCGATCCGTGTCTATGAATGAGAGACTTTCAGGTTCCTTCTCTTGTGACTTTGCGGCAATTTTTGAACGACTGATGGAAATGACAAGACGATGGATACAATTGCGCGCGTTGATATCATCTGGTTCATCTAAAGAGTTTACCATCTTCAAAAAATAAAGAATTGCGTTCTTGGACTTGCAAGATATGGATCGTTGCAATAAGTTCAAAAACAGTTTTTGCATCGATCGATCACCGGCGTCAAAACCAGCCTCTGCAATGGCTTCCTTCAGAGTTGGAACATCATCAGTTCTAATTGCTTGATCGACCGTATCAACCAATCCGCTGGGTAAATTGAGAATTGTTCTCGACGACACTCTCTTGATTGAGTGAGCGGAATGAACCGAAAGTGCGTCATCGTTGATATTCTTCTCTCCCAAAACGGCAATCCAATCATTTGTCGTTTTCATAGCTTTGGATAAAGCAAAGTTTGCTGCAAAAGGCTTCAAATCGACCTTCGAAGCCATGTACCTTGCTTGGGTACAAACATTTGCGACCTTCTTATCCAACTTCTTGGTGATCTTGAGGAAACCTTTACGGTTTACCTCACCAAACCATTGCAACTTTCTCAGTTGAGATCTGAGCTCAAGAAGAGCGCCCAATAACTCTTCGACTTCATTGCGATCTAGCCCTTGTGTGGTATAAACTTTTGCATCGCTATATCGTTGTTGGAGGAGATTTAGTCTGCGGGAAGCATCATAGAATTTCTTGTTATAAAACGCGTCAACATCCTCGAGGTTTCGGTCGAGCGAGAAAAAGAATTCTAGGATCGAAATCAGTTAAGAAATGTAAAATATGTTGCGAATGACGTAATAGACCTACCTGCTAAATCAACACTTTTTCCATCCTTCGCGGCGTTCGCAGCAGCTTTGATAAGCTTCTTCAAGCCCTTATAGTTGATGTATGAAGATGACCATTCCGGGACCTGAGAAGCAGGTAGACTAGAAGCATATGAGTACTGAATAACTTCATATCAAGAGGAGGAAAGACTTACGTGCGTCCAAACTTCATGGTGGGAGAGTTCGAATTGTACAGAATATGTATGTAGCTCTGTGTAGATTTGCGCAAGAGTTGTAGCACAAGCAGAAATAAAGGTAATGATTTAAGAAATCAAACCACCTGGGTTATCTCATAGAAATTGAAATGCAGCTCCGTTGATCAAACAATAGTTGCTCTATGTGATCCATTCAGTCGCTTTCTCGATTCCTTTATGAATATCCGGCGGACGAGGATCCGTAATAGAATTTAGCCGTAATGATGACCAAAATTGAGGGATCTTCTGAGTCGGTTCTCCTTTTCCGTAGCAATCAATTTCTTCGATTGTAAAAATATTCACTGTGGTTAAGATTCAATGAATATATCCACGTTTTGTGAAATAGT